ATTAGAGTGCGATTGGATATGAATTGAACTCAACTTCAGCTTAACCTCACTATCTCAAATATTATCAATATAATTAAATAATATCAACTAATCATTCTTACAGGTCACATCAATTTTAATTCACTATTCATCCACTCACATAATTTTAACTAACTATCACTTCCAGTCATTTTCTCCTACTTTTATATCAAATTAACTTTAACTATATTATTTTAAATATTAATTTAATATATCCACTAATAATTAATTATATCACATTTTTTCAAACTTAATTATAATTAACAAAAAAACTAGTTTTTTACTAATCGAATTCGTATCCAATCGCCCCTTAGCCTGTGTTTGGTTCGGGGGAATTAGAGGGGAGGGGAAGGGAGGGGAGGGAATATTTTTAGTTTCCCCTGTTTGGTTCAACTTTTGACAAGGAAGGGGAGTAAAATTTTCCCCTCCTTTCTCCCACCCAAGGGAAAATCATGTCCCCTCCAATTTTGGGAGAATTTGGAGGGGAAGTTAAATCTTACAAGTTTTTGTACTAATATGTCCTTCTCAATTCATTATAATTACATAATATGTCCCTCTAGTTTTATGTCTTGAAAATATAATATTATATGATAAATAAGGGTATATTTGTCCATGTAATTTCATTTTTCCTCCCCCTTCATCTTCTAACCAAACAAGGTTAATCATTTTTCTTCACCTCCCCTCCTACAAAATCCCTCCAAACAAGGTAAAATTACTTTCCCTCTCTTCCCCTCCCCTCCCCTCCCTTCCACTAAATTACCTCCCCTCCCCTCCTTTGAACCAAACATAGCCTTAAGCACCACACGCGCCCCGTCCCTTTTTCGGCCTTCGTCTACACGCTCTCATCTCGTCGCCGATCCGAGTTTTTTTCACTTTTCATGGCGACTCCAGGCCGCCAAAATCCTCCGACCAATCAACCCTCTCTATCTTCCATTAAATCCACGCTCAAAGCTTACGCTCTCCCTCTCGTTCTCCTCGCGGCCTCGGTTTTCTACCAGCTCGTCGTTTTGCCGCGTAGTTTTCCGCCGTCCTACTACAATGGTACGCATCACGCTCTTATTGTTATTCTCACGCTGCGTTTGTACATTGATTTTCTTCGATTTGGAGCTTTGTAGCGTAGATTGGGTTTTGATTACTTGTTGCTGTGTTTGTGCATTGTGATCCTTTTAGCTTTGGGGATTCCCAGGTACAGTTCTATTGAAGAAGTGACTCAAGCATATGAAGAAATTATTTCCAAGTGGTAATCTCTATTCTAAGCCCAGTTTTCTTTGTTTTTGGGATTGAACTTGTTCCACATATGATGCAGTTTTCTGCTACTAGTTTAGTTCTTTATCCCGCTTAATAGATATAACTGTGTATGTGTACGTGCATATATAGCTGATGCAGTGTCAGCTAATTTGTTCTCTTTCTTATGCTTTTGGGGTGTCTGATGGTAAGGACATTAAGGCGTACTAGCTGGAGAAGTTTCTGAGTTGAGGTTTATGCATGCTCGGTTAATATATGCTAGTGTCTTTGTTACTTCTTTTAATAGTTTGAGTTCAGTGAATTATAAATATATTAAGGTTAAAAAGCTAGCTGTAACGTAAGATAGTTCCCTTGCATCGAAATGTTGTTCACTATCAAGTAATGTGCAAGTTCTGTAAGGTTGTCTGTTCTTCTAGGTTGATGACACTGCCTTTTGGCTTTCTGCATCCCTTTTATGTTCATCGCGCAAAGGGATAGCTTTTATTGGATTTTGTTTTGATTGATGTGAGAATTTGCTTACAATGAACGTCCCCTCGTAGCTGGAAAGGGGGTGGTACACCAGTTCAGTTTTGGAACTCCTCATTTAAATAAAGCAGTTTAAGGAGTTTAATGGGCAGTCAGGTTGCCAAAAGTTAATTCAGTTTGGACTTGGCCAAAGATTAACACATCAGTAGATGGTCTTGAATTTGAAGATTAACCATACATTTTTCTTCTGCATATATGTTGGACATAGCCGTTAAGTTTAGGTAGGCACTTAGCGTCGGGTTTGCTAATCTTGCCCAAAACTGATCAAGATTTAATTGTAACCTACTTATCTGATGATGTTTTCACTTGGAAGTTATGTTATAGCATTCTGTTATCAAATCTAACGAAATAAAATTACTAGTAATAAAGTTGAAGAACCAATTCATGTAACCTTGATTGTATAGAAAAGAGGCATTCTGCTCCTTTAAAAAATAAACAGACAGCTGTAGGATTTATGGCAAATGCATAGTAATTATTTACGTTTATATTAAATCAGTTCAAAATCCACAAACTGCGGACCCTTAAATTGTTTTCAAAGTAATAGGGTCTTAATACAAATGATTGGATTTGAGTCCAGAAAATTTATGAATATTTATTGAACTTTATCTCTTTAATGGTTGTATATTGAACAATTGATCTAGTTGAAAAGAATTATTATTGTTGTTTTGTTGCTGAAACAAGTTATTTAATATGTTTTAAGAACCAACTATGGTCATTATTTCAGGAATTCGAGTGTTGAAGAAGTTCCTCAGACAGTCGATCTTATTAAGGTTGGTAAAGCTTTGCTTTCACTTTATGATCATTAATATTTTCAAATCATACTTCGAAAAATACTGCTTAAATTGAGGTGTCTCTCCCTTGTTTCTCCAAGAACTTATGTTAGGAGTGATTTTTTTGTTGGTTATCCCTTTCTTTGGCATAAGTTCTTTCTTTAAGCTGTTTGTTATTCGAAAAGAAAATGATGATGGGAGCCATCATCATCATAATGTTTTGTTCTACTAAAGTTGGGAGTAAAAAACTTTTTATTTTCAGAAAGGACTCTTATTTTATGTATGAAAAAGTTAAATGGCTTCATAAGGTCGGTTTTGCAGGTGCAATATGCTTATGAGCTGCTGACAAATCACTTGTTGAAGAGAGACTACGACGTATATAACATCGATGAATATTCTGTAAGGATTTTGCAAGTTGTGATCCTCATAGTTGATTTTGTTTGTTGCACCAGTATTTCATTAACTTTTAGAGACTGCACCTTGTACTTTCTGCTGTATCATTCTCCATAACACGTGCAGACACACACACACACATATATTGATTCTCCTCTTCTCCACATTTCATCAAATATGTTTTTATGTGTTGTTGGTTTGTAGCATGTGCTTGAAAAGGCCAAAGAGCAGCTTTCCGGAAAACCTATTGCTGAAATTGGCCGTCGACTGATCGATTCTGCTTATTTTGGTTAGTGAACTGATTCTATATTCGGTTACTTGTTTTCTTTATCTCCTCTTTCATCATAGATAATATTATGAGCATGCTTTTTCATACTTTTCGTAGTCCTTAATTGTATTATTACAAATATGCAATCTTATATGTATCTCATCATCTTAGATCCAGATCAAGATCTTGGGTTGATCACCGCTCAGAACTTTTTATCCACATTCGAAGATGACAAAGCATTGCTACTACAGGTACTTCCCACATGTTATTTGTATATCAGTCTTAATTAAATCCTGTCAGATATTGTGGCTGCCTCTCCACATTGACCTCATTTACATACTATGCAAATTCATTATCATTAAGTCTTACGACTTGGTCCTCAGTTTTATTGTTGTTTATTGTAGCACAAAATAATAACCAATATTGCAAACCAAAGAAATCTATGCCATTTGAGAAGAATTGTCAAAGTTTTCTCCATCTTTTTATGATATTATGAGTCTATAGCTCCTTGAATGGAGAAGATATTATCTATTGCATCCACGGAGTAATAAAATCCTGTTTGTGCATTTATCTTTTGAGAAGAATTATAAGTTAGTTTGTCCACTTGTACTTCTTCGAAGAAGGCTTTATTGGTTAGATAAACTTTTTAGTTGTAAACCAGATAAACCTCTTGGGAAACAAGGAGTCAGCATAAGAGAAAAATCTTACAATTTAGAAATTGTAAACATAACTATTATACTAGACTCTCGTGCCATAAGAAAGTGTGTGAGACCTTAAAATGACTTTTCAATCCAGACTACAAATGTTTTTTCAAGGATTATAGTCCTTCAGTATTTATTTACAATTTTTAATTTGAATGTTCTTCAGTTAAATTCTCCATAATTTTTGCTGTTGTATGATATTTACCAGCATTTTTTGCATATCATTTGTATACAACAGTTATCCACTTTGTAAATAATTTTCAATCCGATTCTCTTGTAAATAATTGAGTACAGTTGATACAGCAGTTATCCACTTTGTTTAGCATAGTCTTTATTGCTTAATCAATGTGTTACTGTTTTGCACTGCTTAATTTATCTTACTGTTCATTATCGTACAGATAATTTCACTAGGGAGCAATCGTTGTGCAGAATTTTCTATCACGTGGAAGAGAATTGGTCAGTTGCTTTCATAGAGTACATTTTGTCCGACTTTTATGTTTAGCTGTATGTTGATCTTTGCCTCTTCTTCACTAGTTAATCTGCTGAATGGGGTAGCAAATACTGGAATTGTTGAACTTGGTGATGTTCAGCTTGCTGTACATTTAGCTGAGAAAAAACCCAGTGGACAACCTTTCTTTAGAAGTGGTAAGAATAACATTCGGATTATTTATTGGTTCTGTGAGGTATCTTGTTGGCTATTATTGTGTAATTTTTATGAAACACGTACAGTAGCTTGGCACATCTCTGCACTCTATTTTTATGTCACTTACACCATTGATGTGACAAGTCATGTCTTGCATCTCTATAGTCCCTCGGCACTATGTTTTTCTTGTCTGCTAACAAATTAGATCCTCATCCGCTACTATTTTATTCTCGATTTTAATGTTTTGTTCTACCTACATTTTACAGGGGTTCCAGCACTTCTGGCGTTTCCACCTGGATGTAAAAGTGCGAGTTGTCTTCAAAGGTGTATTTCATCTTTAAGACTTTTGACGAGTTCTTTCTACATAAATTAGTTTTATTTTTTCTTTCTTTTTACGAATTGTGGACTTGAATGATGTTTTATTTTCCTAGGTATGATGGTGACCTGTCAGTTGATTCAATCACAGATTGGTTGGCAACAAGCATCCTAAGTTTACCTCGAATCCCGTTTTACTCTAAGGATTCCCTGGTAATCCATTTTGATTCAGAATGCAATAAATATTTTAGTAGTATGCAAATGTGAATTTGTCAGTATGAGTTTTAGTTTTTGTTCTTTGACCGGGTTCCATTTACTCAGAAGCCATATTCTAACTTCAAAACTCTATCCCCAGTTGTTCCTTTTGCCTTCTGAGCGATTTGAGGCCATAGTTTATGGATCACGGTTAATGACATTATGCTATTTTTTCCCATTTCCATAATATGCTCTTTGTTTTCGTCCTTTCCTTTTTTTTTTCCTACTTTTCTTCTTCTACGTTTGGTTTCGATATTTTCTGGCTTCTTCCAAATTTGGTTGTCTGTCATTTGCAAAGTCCATCTAAACCTATATTCTTTTGGCTTTTCTATTGCTAAAAATTCACGAAAGCCATTTTAAGCGTCAAAGAGAAAGTGATGGACAAATTTAACTATCTGAAGTAGTCGGGAAATCAGTTTCTTCTTTTATTTGTACTTTAATGTGGAATGATAACATTAGTTAATACTTAATCCTATTCAACAATTCTCAAATATCTTGGCAAAACTAAAATTGCCTTTGAGCTTAGTACACGTGAAAGATTTTCTCTCTCTCTCTCTCTCTCTCTCTCTGGTGTGTGTGTGTGTTTTTCTGATAATCGGCTCATTGTGAACTTTCACTTCTTTTCAGGTGCATAATTTTCTGGTAAAGAGCAAGCCTCATCTGGTATTGTCCTAATCGCATCAATATATTTCACTGTCACAACACTTACTCATTATTTCTATCTACTCACTTTTTAAGACACTCATTCTCTTTATGAAAGTATTTAATTGGTGATTTCTTCTTGTTCAAAATTTAGGAGGCACAAGGGAAAAAAATGACTTGTTTGCTTACAGCGTTATTAATCTCATTATTTTTGTAATAGGTTAAAGTTATATTCATCTCAAAAACTGGAGAACGTGCTACCCCATTCATTCGTCAAGCTGCTAGGAGCTATTCATCATATGCCTCTTTTGCCTTTGCTTTATGGAAAGAGGAGGAATCCACATACTGGTGGAATATGTATGTTAATTTATTTTCTTGCTCTTTGTTTCTTTGCAGAAAAGGTCCCTTCCCCAGTGAGTTATTTTTTTAATGGTTCTTCGGTCATTGTTTCTTCTTCTTTGCTCCATTTTCATTTTGATGATGCACATTCTTGGTATATTACATGCAGTGCACTCGGATTCCCTTTTCGTACCATATGCGCGCGCTTAGACTTTCTTTTTTCCGTAAAACCTAAAAATACTACTAATTGCAGTGAAAGAAATTACATATTTTTGTATGAGCAACAGGCAAATCAATGAACATGTGCTCTTTCTTCAGTGTGATTCCTCTTGATCTTAATCTCTTTTCCTTATTTGTAATACATTGTAGATAAGTGTTTGTCTTGGATAGGTAATAAGTGTGCTATTGAATATGATTTCATTTGAACCAAAAAAAAAAAGACTCTAGAAATAATAGTTGAGGGAAATTCATTATTTGTATAATGTGAACTGATGTAAGATGAAAAATAATAGTTAAAATGTGATGTGGTGGGAAAATAGTAACAGTGATTGGTAATTAGAAATATGTGTGTGGGTTGAATAAATTTATAAAGAAATGTGTAGTAATAATAATTGGTTTATATTTTAAAAGTAGTGTTGATAAAGTGGAGATAGAATGTGGAATGAGCAGTAGCATACGCAAAAGGTACTAGTCAAGTTCACATCTATATTGACCCATAAAAAAAAGTATGAAAGTGATAAATAAGTAAATCAATCAACGAAAGAGAGAACAGGTATAAACTTTCACTCTATTGAGGTTTTATTAAAAATGATGCTTATTAAATATCAAACTGGAAGAGATGGTTATTTATATCACCTATATTGTGCTATGCTAAAAATCAGGTTTCTTTTTTTACTGAAAGTATTTCATGGTTAATAGGTTCGGTGTGGAGTCTGCTCCTGCAATAGTATTCATGAAAGATCCAGGAGTTCAACCTGTTGTTTACCATGGTATGTCCCAGTTCTCATGTCATACTTGTATTGGTAGAATAGTTGACCTATGAACACTCGATTTAATTGTACAAAAGCTAATATATCTCTTACCTACAGGACCAATCAATAGTTCGTTGTTCACAGATATTGTGGAGAAGAACAAACATTTTGGTACGTTTATGCATTTTCCCTTTGCCTAAACCTATATCATATTTAATGAGTATGTACAAGTTCACCCGTCAAATTTATTATTACTCAACCAGTTATTATTTTTAAACTTTAGTGCTCCATCCAATGTGAAATTTAGTTGTTCCAGGACCATTTAGAACAGTTAAGATCCTACTCTTCATAGAGTGTGCTAGGTAATTTGCTTATTTGCCAATGACATGAGGGGCCCACAAGGAATTTTCATAAGTTTTCGTTTTTGTATAATTGGAATCCTTTTTAGTTAAGACAAATAATTTGTTGAAACTGTTATTTTTTTTAATCTTTTATATGCTTTCAGTGCTTCCCCAGTTGAGAAATTTGACTGCTATGGAGTTGGGTTGTGATGTTCATGGTTATTCGCGTGCTGGGACTGATACCAAGATTTGGTACTGTGCACTTGTTGCTGGAAGACCAAGTCAGGAACTCAACAAAATGCGTGAAGTAAGCTTCTCCAATATGTTTTTTTTTTTCGTTGAGTGGTATTTGGATTTGGCAAATGGTTCTGATATGTCCTCCCGAGTTCTTACTTTACATAGTATTTTTCCATTTTTCTTATTGGAATACTGGTATAACAAGTTAGCATGATGTGTAAAATCATGGAACACATGGAATCTGTTTGAATTAATAGTCGTTTATCTTCATCTATAATTGAACAAGTATTATTTTGTGGTTTATATGGGTTTTTTTTTCTATGTGAATTCACATCGTGGAGGTTGATGTATATTGACTCGTATGCTTAAAGACTATGCGCAGAGTGCAAGAAACACTTACAGATGCTGATGAGATAGACATAGATGATCAAGAACCTCAGTTAACACCAGCAGCATTAGCACTAAAACAAAAGCGCCTAACATTTGCTTGGCTAGATGGGGAGGCACAGCATGTGAGTCACATCTTTCTTTTGTCTTATGGTTTTGTTGTCTGCTGTTCTGGACACTACTTGCATGAGAGTTTTGCTTTCTGCCAGTCATTTTCTAGACTTGGAAAGGTTGTCTGTTATTGAATCATGATATATTTGTGTCGAATAATATCTGCAATAAATTAATTATAATCCATTTGAATTTTACCAATTTACCTAGAATCCGAAACTAACCTGTGAGAAAATGTAAAATTCTGTGAAAAATGTCCTTTTGACAAACTTAGCTATCCTTTTCTCATATATCAGTGAGTAGACTTCCCTATAATATATTGCTGTCAAAATTATTTTAGTTCCTGCTTCCCTGGCAAAACTATTATTTCTTATGAAAGACAAACTCATTAACATATTTTTAAAACTCAAACTAGTTTCATGCCTTACATCAACATATATGAGTGAATATCCTCACCCCCGAACACAAAAAATCGAAAAAAAAAGTAGAAGCATATATTATGAGAATTGAACTGTTAGTTAGTATATTGATATGGGTTTTGGTGGAATGATGTCCTCAAGTGTACCTTTCTATAAATATGTACATTTGTCATTTAAGAATTTCCTTACACATTAACCATTTTATGTATACCAAAGCGTGATTCATTTGTAAATTGGCATATGCCTTCAAGTACCAATATTATTCTCCGTTGCTTTTTTTTTTTCCTCATCATCTTGCAAAAAGCTCCACTCTTTCTGTTCTGTCATATGGAACATTAAGACAAGATCATATCTTGCAGCGCTATTGTTTTTTCAACATCCACTCAGATGATAGCTACGAGTCATGTGGAACAAGGAGGGGGATAACGGATGTAGCACAGCTGTTCATTGTACGTTATGAGAGGCATCCTAACAGTGAAAATTTGGATACCCCTAAACAGCCAAACAATATTTTTCATGCGTGGCATCACCCTGAGTCTGATCCAGTGTCCTCGCTAGTCGCAAAATATAATGGCTCGACCGAAGTTTCAGAGGTTAGAATTCTCTTGGAAGATTGGCTCTTGCGTCATTGATTGTGCGCGTTGGCTTACTTTATTTCTAATTTACAAGCTCCCACGACTGTACACTCCTTGTTGTGCAAGTTTCATAGTTATGAAATGGTTCTTATCGATGGATTTAATTGCCAGATCATAAACTGGGTGTCTCAAACAATTAAAGATGGCGATACAAGAGAGATCCCTCCTTTTGTAAGCTGATTCCTCAATCTTCTTTGCAAATATCTCCATTTTCTTCCCTGTTTTATTTCTTCAGGTGCCTTGTGCAGGAATAGTTCCAGTTTCTTTTTTACTGCTATGTTCTATTTAAATTTGATGTAGTTAG